TGGGGTTAAGTGACTTGTCCAGGTTCCCACAGCTAGTAAGTGTCAAGTGTTTGGTCTGAGGACGTATTTGACTTCAGGGTCCTCCTGACTTCAGGGCTGGTGCTCTATCCACTGTGCTGCCACCTCAACTTATCTTTCAAGAATTGTTATATAATCACTCCTCTTCATACGTAGTGTGGTCCAGACCAAAGTGGCCTTTTTACTGTTCTTTATCCTATCTCCTATCTTGATGCCTTTGTATCATATAATTTTATATAGTATTATACAATAATAATATTTATCATTAAGGATTAAGGTTTGGCAAGATTGTTACCCTGAATGTAAATTCCTCAAGAAAAAGAATTGTTGCATTCTTCATGCTTAGCACAATGCCTTGCTTGCAATAGGTACTTAATAAATGCTTGGTGATTGCCTGATTGATCGATTGATTGATTGTCCAAAGTCACATTGCTAGTTGAAGGAATTCAACCCAGTTCCTCAGATTCCAAATCCATTTTTTTCTCCAACTGCCACACATTCACACTATCCCTCAAAGAATGTAATACATTCCCTCCAGAGAATCTGGGAGCCTGTTCAGATATGTCCCAGGAGTACAGCCTTCTGGGTGTGTTGATCTTGAAGCGGGTAGAAAGGGTTAGACAAACCTGTCTCCATTAGGAGCAGTTTCTTTTCAGCCCCAGGGCAAAGCACAGCATTCAATCCTAATGCCGTTTTTTTTTTTTCTGTACTGCACAGTTATCTTCTGAGGAGGGACATGTTCCTGTTTTTGTTTGAGAATGGAAAACATGCTATTTCTTTATTAGTAAGAGAGTTGTTCAATTCTGCATGAAGGGTTGGTCAATTACAGAATCACACAATCTCAGAGCCAGAAGGATCCCCAGAGGGCATTTTGTCCAGGTTGATACCAACATAGGAATCCTCTCTGCAGCATCTCTGATAAGTGGTCATCCAGCCCTACTTGAAAACTGCTAGCGATGGGGAACTCACTACTTTCTGAGGCAGCCCATTCCATTTTAGAACAGCTCATATCATTAGGAAGTTTTTTCCTTATGTCTGTTGTTGTTATTGTTGTTCTGTTGGTTTTTTTTTAGTCATGTCTTATTCTTCATGACTCCGTTTGGGGATTTCTTGGCAAAGATACTGGAATGGTTTACCATTTCCTTCTCCAACTCATTTTACAAATGAGGCAACTGAGGTGAACAGGGTTAAGTGACTTGCCCAGGGTCACACAGCTAGTAAGTGTCTGAGGCCAGATTTGAACTCAGGAAGATGAGTCTTCCTGACTCCAGGCCCAACGCTATATCCACTGAGCCATCTAGTTGCCCAATCCCCACTCTTGAAAAGTTTATATAGTACCGGGAGAAACAATATTTATGTATATAAAATATACAGAATAAGTACAAAAATAATATAAATACAAAATCAATTTGCTAAACATAGGAAAGGGGCAGCTAGGTGAAAACAACAATCTACCTATCTGGAATTTCCATGCATGGCTCCTGGTTCTGCTCTTCAGGGTGAAGCAGAAGTAAAATATGAGAGCCCCTCAAACTCTAGAAGCCAGCTATCATGTTCCCTCTACCCTAAAGTCTTAGGTTCAACACCCCATTTCCTTCAAATGGCCCTTGTATGGCATGATTGTCAGTACTTTTGGGATCCTGGTCACCCTTCTAGGAGACACAATTCAACCATGCTCTGCTTCTCACCCAGGATGTCTACAGGCCACCTAGGGTGAACTAGGGTGGTCAGGGGGCATCCAAGAATTGTGTTCTGAAGTAGCTTCTTATTCCATAGCCAGACTGGAAATAACCAATGGGGACTCTCTTTAAGGCTGCTAGGAAAGCAAAAACAACTTGAGCAGAGGGCTACCAAGGCACAGGTAAAGGAAAGATTCCACTTGGCTGTCTCTTGGGTGATCTAAGCCTAACTCAAAGGACTGATTAACATTCCTGGATTCCAAAGTGTTCTCTCCTCAATGACAGAGTCTGGACCAGAAGCCAGAGGATCACAGAACTGAGAGCTGGAGGATGACTTAGAGCTGGTCAAATCCATTCCTTCCCTTCATCGATGAGGAAGCTTAGGCTCAGAAGAGGTCAAATAACTTCAATCAACAAGCATTTATTAAGTACCTACTCACTATTTCCCAGGCACTTTGCTAGGCATTGGGGGTACAAAGACAAAAGAGTTCCTGCCATCAAGGAGCTTACTTTCCATGGAGGAAAAAACTATCTATCTATCTATCTATCTATCTATCTATCTATCTATCTATCTATCTATCTAT